AGATAGCTTCTTCTCATTTACATTCACAAGGATTGTTACATCATTTTTCAAGTATTCTCAAGTTTTTATCCGTCGTATTGAAGTTTATTATAGATGTCAGATATATGCAATAGTTATCTTTTAATTTGTATATTTTGATATTTTATAATATAGTTTGTTGTAAGATTGATTATGCCATTTTGACATTTTGAGATTTTAACATTCAGATATACATAATAGTTCTTCTATTTTTATCTAACTATTGAATGACAAATGTGTATAATTTATCGTGGAACTGATTTATAAATAATTTATAACATAAACTTATTAAAAAATGTCAAATTTCTTTTGACTTACTCTTAAAGAGTGTAAAATACTGACATGAGATTAATCTGGAGATTGAAATTTAGAACTATGATTTTAAGGAAACACAGAAAATACGAATGATCTATAGATTGAAGTTCAGACTAATTTTTGAAAAAAAATAGGGTGTCTCAGTTAAGAAGTGATTTTGTTGTAGAATGAGTGTGTTCGAATTTTAAAATTTAGAATATACAAAAGGTATTATGAGGTTTTCATAGAGTGTGTGATCACTACATGGGTATAGTGAATAACACCTATAAATAATGATGTTAAATACATTTAGTCCAACAGACTTGTTAACCCGGCCCAATACCATCGGCCTATACTTATAGTCCTTGAGAGAACTGCTCAATGTTGAGTAAAGGTAAGCAAATTTAAATCTAACTTGAGAGTTTTAACATAAGGACATTACTCATTACACCCTCATGATATACTCACACTCTAGAGAAATTACAAAAATATCCTTAAATTTTGGATTTCAATCTTTGTACATTACTAAATATACAAGAAATTCTCTCTCAAGCACACCAAATCTAAGTTAAAAATAGGTTTGGATATTGAAATTCAAATTAAAAATTCACAGATTTTGAAAGTTTGACACATCTCAACATACCGCACAAAAATTCAAATTTAGAGCTACAAAAATATTAAAGGATGTTGCTAGATTTTAATCTTTGGACGCTTTCATTTAAGTATTTAACGCTCAACTCCCTTTTCCTTCTCTTTCATTTTATCAAATTTGAACACAACTGAAAACATAGCTTACCTCTGCCTACTCCTGCACTAACATTTTTCAATCTTTCTTACAAATTATACTCCACTACATTCAAATTTGGTGCATTTGTCAAGTTCTAATCCTAATCCACTACATTCAAGCCAAGATCATTCATCTCTCATATTTGGTAAGTTTTTTTTTTATTTCTTTGTTTTTTTATTTGTGATGTATGTGTTTCCTAAATAAGTTATAGTTATTGTTGTATTAAGTTTCATGAAATATAGATGTTGTATTTGTTTGTCTTAATTGGATTTAGTTTGACATTTTGAAATTTTGAGCTTAGGGTTCTTAATGCATATTTTTCTTGGATTTTGTTTTAGGTTCATGGAATATGGATAACAAAATTCAGATTTCTCTATTTTAAATTTAATTTTGAAATTTGGTTTGCTGATACATTGATTCCCCTTTATGATATGCATTTTTATTTAATTGTAAAAAAAATTAATGACAACCAACAAATATTAAGATATGGTGGAGTGATCCAACATATTTTAGCAGGGAGAAAGATATACTCTCACGAAATGTAATTGGAGAATCTTCGTTTGTGGTTGTAGGATCGTCTTAATGGGGGTCATGTATCTCTGACTCATTATGAAGCCTCCACTGCTCCTTTATATGATGTTGTACCTGATGTTGAACATGATGATATCAGACATGATAGTTTTTCGAGATGCCCCTCATACCTTTCATTACTTCCTCTATATACACATCGTTGTTGCTAGGCACATGTTGGAGGGCGAGGTAACATAAATAATTGAATTGTTTGTGTTAAACATATGTGTTATAACAACTGAATTGTCTGATGATAATGTGTTATGGTAGCTCAACAAGGCACTTTGAAGATAACTTTATCGCTAAGTAACCTTATAGTAAAATTTGCTAGGTGAATTACAGCTTACCCAAAGAATGAAAACAACTTTGGAAATATATAAGTATGGGCTTCGTCAGTTTGATTTTGATATCAATTTCATATTGTTTTATTTAGTTATATAGTTTAGTAAAACTCTTAATGAGAGAGAGAGCTAGAATGTTTATAATGTTAAAGTATTGTCGAAGTGGAGCAACTGAGGATTGAGAGATTGTCTGAATGTGGCTCTACTTATACATCTTCTATCTATCTACATAATCATGTGTATCTAAGTTTTGTAATACCCAAATTATCAAACAACCTAAAATACCAAAAACTTGTTAAAATAGATTATACTTCGTCTATGTCCCATGGAGCCTTAAGCTGCCTGATAAAAGGCTCATCCCTAAGGTTCCTCACAACAGAGTAATTGTTCCATCGCGGCTGCCACTTCACCTTAAATGCCATCTCCAAATTCAGCAGTTGATCCAGTGCCAATGGGAATTCCAATGGATCATCAATTCTCACATATATAACAAACCTCAACAATGAGTATCAAAATATTACAAAAATGAATATACCAAGGGTGGGGAATAAGACACTAAACCTTGATCATAGTATGACGTAGTTGGACAACAGACAAATCCAGCAGTAACTCACTTTCTCTATTCCAAAACACAAAGTTACAAATGTTGCCCCCATGGAAAACTTGAATTTCTATCTTGTACCTACAATGTCATGATGTCATGAGCTAAAAAATATGATGACATAAATAAACAAAAATAGCTTTAACAGTCACTACATATATTAAAGGATAAGTAATAAGTCCTAAAGATTCCAGCCTTAGTTGAATGACCAGCATCAAAGTCAAACGGTGGAGTGTCACCACGTGTAATGCAAGGACGTAGATGGCAGGCATGGTAACACCACCCAAATGGAGATGCAACCAGAATCCTCGTTTCAGCAACAGTGGCGCAAAAAGTAATCTGCATCAATAGCCCATGACATGAATCCCAAATTAAAAAAAGAAGTGACCAATACAAATGGAAAAAAACAACAACAACAATCAAACTGTAGCATACATCACAGAGTTTGATTATTTCACCAAGAGGCAAAACAACAACACTCGAGAGTAACATCTGAGCAAGACTGAGTTATATTTTTTTAGAATTATGCGATGATAGCTGCGAACCCAAATCCATCTGCCCAGAGACAATAACGATAGACTCCTTAGGCATGCTGCATGAATAAGTGAACTAAAAAAATGTACACATAACAGCAGGAGAATTGCAACCTCACAATAGATACCATCGAATCGATACATGGAACATACCAGTCAATAAAATATTTGATCAGAGGAAAACCAGCATCGAGGCAGAGCAACGTGACATTGTAGGTATTTGTGACCGACAATGGAAACTTCCCTATACAAACATAAAGAGGAGGCAAGTGTGAGTGGTCAAAAATAAATAGATAATTTCATAACAGAATGAACCAACCAACCCTCTTGTTTGACTTTAGCATACTGCAGCAGCAACACAGTTGGACCAGAGCTATTGTCACGATCCTGGTTGAATTTGATAAGTTGTTCGACATACGATTCCCAAAGAGTATAATTCAGAGTGTTGTTGCTAAACAGTGAATACACAATATTCAGTCAACAAAAGAAATTTAAGATGCACCACAATATAATATATGATACAACAACAACGACAAAAGCGCCGAATTACATACTTGTGGTCCATTAACATCATATTAACTTGCAGTTTTTTAAACCCGACTGTGTCTGAGAATACCCAATACCCTTAACCATTCCAATTACATATTGCCAAAAAAAGACAAACACCCGCATAAGAAAATAACAGTATATCGAATTCAATCATGCGACGAAAAGATCAAAAACAACGTTAGATTTTAATTATCTATCAGCACATCCATGTTATAATTACCGCTGATTATATCAGAAAAACCAGTAAACACCAACGATTTCGCAGGTATGTCATGTTTGTTATCATCACCAACGAACGTATCTCCTGTAAACTTAAGCATAAATTTGTGAGCCGAAAGTCTAAACGAAGACACAATCGACTGAACCTTAAAGTTTGCCACAGTATAAGTATGGCCCAACAAATTTTTTCCATCAAAAACACTTATGTGCCGCCGGGACAACAACATGAATATCATCGCCCTGTAATGCACAAAAAAATAACAGCATATCAGAAAACTAAAATACCACTATGCAATGCACAAAAAATCTGCCATAACAACATAATATGACATAAACCATACGAAAAACAGATCATCCAGACGCAAAGAAGATTTATTTTACCGCTTTGTCCATAAATATCATTTCAAAATGCTCTTTGTTGTTAATCAGAATATTCCACCGATGATGAACCCTGACTACAACCTTCCACAATTCTTTATCGTTATTGATGTCGCATACAACTTCAATCGGCCGTGCCATGGTAAATCGATATCAGGGACATGATGCGAAAACAACTGGGTTAGAGGAAGGCGATGCTGTAACAGAAATTTAGAAGGTGGAAGAATATAAAGAACGGTAACCATGGGAAATATTTGGAGACAGTTACAAAAAGGCAGTGTTTTGGAGACGATTATGGTAGCCATGATGAGTTATGGACAGCAGTTACAAAATTGATATGGATATGAGTTGTTTGAGAGGCAGAAAAACAAATGCATCGTAGATGTGTGTAAAAGAATTAGAAAATCTAAAATAGAGAGCAATGAAGGTACTCACATGAAATGTTTTTGAAATAAAAGAACAAAATTGTCAAAATAAATACAATGAATTTTTTTATATTATAAATATCTCCGTGTAGGATTCAAATCTATAAAAAAAGTCTTATACGAACGTCACTGTCCTATGATTCACCCGAATTATTGATATTTTATAGAGCCAAAAATGAGATTTTATAATTAACACCATATATATAGCAATAACAACAACACCAAAAGAAAAAACGGTGTTATTTGTTTGGATTATTCTAATCAATCGATCGAAGAAAATTCTTGATGGGGAATACGTTCTGTTTATTCTGTGGCTGCGTCGAACAGTCTAGCGTCGGTGTTGTTGAACAGTGGGGTCGTTTTCACCGATTGGCTCAACCCGGTTTCCAGTTCTTCAACCCTCTCGCCGGTGAATGTCTCGCCGGTATTCTCTCCACTCGTATCGCCTCCCTCGACGTCAAAATCGAAACCAAAACCAAGGTAGCTACTGTCTTCAATTTTCCATTTCTTGTTTTCTGAGACGCTTTTTGTTTTGTTTTATTTATGTGGTTCTTTTTGGGTGTCTGTGCAGGATAATGTTTTTGTGCAGTTGTTGTGTTCGATTCAATACCGTGTCGTTAAGGAAAATGCTGATGATGCTTTTTATGAGTTGCAAAACCCTCAGGAACAGATCCAGGCTTATGTTTTTGATGGTTTGTGTTTTGATCTTGATTTTGTTTATGAATTTGGTTGTTTTTCTTAGTAAGGTTTTAAATAACAGTCGCGTAAAGGCTATACGATTTCATTCGGTATAAGTGTTGCGATATTGATTACAGTCGTGGTGGTGTGAATTAACCACAATTTCTTTTTCATCATAAAAACTAACCGTATATGTACCTTCCGATATTGTTTTGTCGCGGCCGTTTTCGCGATTGTTAGTGACAATTTAGGTTAGTTGAAAAAGTTGAATTGATCATTGATGACCACTTTATCACTAAGGTGCCTTATCACTGTTGATTTTTGTAGTTTTAGTTTTTAATTCAGTGAAGTTTGTGTCTGTGGTTTGTTGTTGCAGTGACTCGTGCTATTGTTCCAAAGATGAATTTGGATGAGTTGTTTGAGCAAAAAGGCGAGGTTGCCAAAGGTGTTATGGAAGAACTTGGAAAGGTGATCGCTCTCATTGCATTTACCAAATCATGTTAATTGTAGTAGAAGGAAAATATTTAGTTTGTGAACATTGTCGCTGTAAATTTTTTTACTGGATCAATCAATCATAATTGTCAAACTATTAAAAATATTTTAACTTCGGTCATACATAACTACTTTTCAAGTCACACATATGATTTGGCTATTTATGTAAGAATTAGTAAGTGAAAAGAACCTGTGAACTATCAGTAAGTTGTTGTTTTGATTTGGTACATGTTGTCGTCGTCGTTGTCTTTATGTGGTAGTTGTCGTTGATAATAGTGCACTATGCTATCGGCCTGCAAAACCCTATTGACAATAGCGGTCATAGCGGCCATGTATAGTGGTGTCGTAGTGGCAAAATAGCAGTGCTATAGTGGCCCTCTTCACATTCATGCCAATACCTATCTCCTAATTTACTCGTCCGTAATTTCTTGTATCAGGTGATGGGAGAATATGGATATAGCATAGAGCACATACTGATGGTTGATATTATACCCGATCCTTCTGTGCGGAGGGCGATGAATGAGATCAATGCAGGTAAAAAATACTCATTTGTGGTTTTTAGACTGTTTTTTCTCTTCCAATAGGCATATCAAGCAATAAAATGTATGTTCACGGAATACTCGGTCACAAAACATGAGGATTAGGTTCTGAAATATGATTCTGTGTGTTCTGATGTTATACTACTTTTTTCAATTCAGCGTTGATACATGTTTATATCATCTTGATGTCTCTGTTTGTAGCGTAACTAATAAGTATTGGTTTAACTTCACAGCTCAAAGGTTGTTACTTGCTAGTGAATTCAAAGGAGAAGCTGATAAAGTGGTTATAGTTAAAAAGGCGGAAGCAGAAGCTGAATCAAAGTATTTGGGTGGGGTTGGCGTGGCAAGACAGCGTCAAGCTATCACGGATGGGTTAAGAGAGAACATCATGGAATTCTCTACAAAGGTAGAAGGAACTTCAGCAAAGGAAGTGATGGATCTTATCATGATTACTCAGTACTTTGACACGATCAAAGAACTTGGTAACTCTTCAAAGAATACCACAGTTTTTATACCTCATGGACCTGGCCATGTTAGGGATATCTCTAATCAAATTCGCAATGGAATGATGGAAGCGTCATGTGCTCAAGTAACTGATGATGTTGAGTAATGTGTAATAGTAATGTGTTGATATGTCATTTGTTTTCTGTTGGATTTTATGGAACAACAGTTTTGAATAGTTTTAAGTTGTAAAACTTATATGTTTGAGTTGGTACTAATACAATTCATTGGTATTTTATAGGAACTTATTTATTTCCCAATGTAATAAAAAGTATAGTTTTGTTTATTTGGAACTTGATATGTAAGCAAGTGCACAAGCCCAAGAAATAAAATGATATGTTGTAATCTTTTGTTTTAGTGAATGATGGCAAACACAAGTTATATGTATTTTCCAAACTTTCTGTAAATATGAGTGTTCTGTGCCTGGCCACATGTCCAAAAAGGAGAGGTTGAATCATCAGTCAAATTTACTCCACCAAAACATAGAAGGTAAAATGTAGCCCTACTCTAAAGCTCTACACGGGATCCACACCATGGGATGCTGCCTATTGTTAGATGTCATCGAATTGTCTTATGCATTCTAATTGAAACGGTACATAGCGTTCATAATCACCTTTCATTTATAATACATCTAACGTGAAACCTGATTTATTCTCTAAATGATAATTCACATTATTCATTATTTTCTTGTTAACTTGAGAGTTTGTGTGTTAACTTTGTCGATCCATCTCTCGCTGCATTGGAGATCCGCTCAACAACATAAGGATTCTAATCTATTATTTCAACAAATATTTTTGGTTCCCTAATGATACAACGAGGAAAAAAATACATAAGAATTTAGTTTTAATTTTTTTTTTTGGTATGAATTGAAGTTTCTTCAAAGGTGATAGTGATTATTTAAATTCTTATGGGATATTGAAAATGTTAAATTCACCGGTGTAAATTTTAGGTTATCGTGTTAGATGTATCAACAACTATGCAGACGTTGAACATTTCTAACTGGCCACAAATTGATGTCTAAACGTATTGACTCCGTTGGAGCACATAGTTGTTGAATTGACAATGTCACCATGAATCATAATATCGTAATACTAACAATTAAAAGTGTGATTAATCATGTTCAATTAAAAGATATAAGGAGTTCTTCAAGCTCTTCTAAAAGAGTTTGTAACATTGGAGAAGAAATTAGCTGACAAAGTTTCTTATTATTTTTAAAGGGTAATGTCGGTGACTAACAAAATATAGGTGCATGGAGAGAAAATTATATGGTTTAAAAAATTACGGTTCATAACCGTAATTACAATTGTAATATTATTGATGCAGTAGTCATTGCAACTATATCGAACAACAATTATAGTGTGATTTGAAATCACGCGTTCTTCCACATTAAAAACTGCATCAAATAATTTCGCTAAAGTTTCTTCATGTATTTTCATTAAAACTCAATTTATAATCCCAAAACTCTATTTATGTGTGCAAAATTAACTATTTTTCAATAATATATTTCAAACTCTTCTCAATCAAAATTTACGCTGTAATAACCATAATCGCAACACCCACAATCACAACCGTGACCTCAACCACAATCTAAATGGTGCATAGATTTTTGTATGCCTCTACAACAGTACATCATGCATGCATGGTAAGGAAACAACATCGAGACATATTTCAAAGAAGAGCAATTGGAGGGAGAGAATTTATTTCCCCACCCTTACACCTTTTTAGCCATTTCTGGCGAAATTCTGTTTTTATCTCTAAAATTCAGAGATGTATCTCCGAACGCACCACATTTAATTTTTTTCTAGGGTATTTTCGTAGATATATTGCCGAAACACTTTTTTCCAAAATCAAAGGTGTTTCAGAGATACATCTCTGAAACAGGGAATTATAGTAACAAATACAAACAACCACCCCTCATTCTCATTTGTTTCAAATTCTAACTATCAAACACCTCAAAAACCTCAAAAATCTCTACTTTCAAGACTCATTCAAGTTTGTCTACTCATTTGCACTTGTTACAACTCACTCCAACTCTCAATTTCAACAACTCTAAAAACTTCAATTTTGAGTAAGTTCTCCAATCCCTTTTAATCTTTGCATTTGTATTTTAAGTTGTTTAGATGATGTATAATCTATAAAAAGGTTGCTTTTATGTGTAAAAATTAGACTTTGGTGTAAAATGGTGTTGTTAGGTTGAAGCTTTGGTTATGGAAGTCGCAGGTGTTTTTGGAGATACATCTCTGAAAACTCCTCTGAGGAGTTTCGGAGATGCATCTCCGAAAATATGCCTGAGTTTTTTATTTTTTTTTTATTTTTAATTTTCAAACATGTTCTTGTTCGTTCGCTTCCCTTTGATTAACGATTATTTGTTTTTTCAGAAAAATGACAGAGAACTCCAACAAATTGAGACTTGGTAGGCCTAGCCAAACTGCATCCGCTCGACTAGAGAGAGCTGAGCAGACTACGAGGCGTCGAGGATGCGGTCGACTACCGCGGGAGGAAGTGGAAGGAACACCGACTTCTGCTCCGAGGAGTTGTCTTTCGCGTCGTCGTCTAGGGATTACGAGGAGGAGGAACCCGAGCGGGTTCAGGTTCTGGAACCTGAAATGGTTGATGTTCCGGAAACCGAGGATGAGGCTATCCCAGGTTTTCCAGGAGGGGCGTCTGACACCTCCCTCTTGATCTATTACACCGATCATGTCGCTCGATATGTTTCAGAGGGACAAAAATATTAATTGTTGTTACACTTTTCATTTTAATGATTTACGCACTAATATGTTAAAATTGATATTAATTATTTATCTTTACAGAAACTGTGGCCACTAAAGTGCGTGAACCACGCGTGGAAGATATCCGAGTTGTATCACCTTGATGAGGATTGGTTCAGAGAGGCTATTTTTGCCTCCAGACTTGTCGGCCTTTGTTGTTCCAGTTACATCACCATCAACCACGACATGCAGGGGGTATCTCTCTGAGGCAGCTAATTTCGAGTCAGAGGGAGACATCTTCTTTGTTCTTTATCACTGTCAATGTGCTATGTAGTGTTACTTCATGTTCTTGGTTGACACGTCTATTTTTATGGCCAAAACCGCCAACTACGCATATGTAGCATACCTTCAGTACTTCATGAATTTGGATATAGTGAGGGAGTGGAACTGGGGATCGGCTGTTTGGTATATCTGTTCCAAAAGTTGAATGAAGCCTCTAACTGGAGGATACGACAGCTGACAGGCTCTACTACACTGTTGACGATAATTATCATTCCAACTATTAAATTTAATTTACTATTAATAACTATAAATTATTCTTAGATGAATCTTATTCAATTTTCAGGGCTGGATCATTTCTCACTTCCACCGCATCCATGGTTTTGAGTTGGATATGTAGTATAGTGAGCACATGTCGAGGGATGCTTGTTATGCCCCCCCCCCCCCCCCCCACAGAGGAAACCAGTCTGTGCTTCCGTTCCAGGTGTATTTGGATCGGACTGTCCATGATGACATCCTATGGACGTCGTTCGAGGATCACCAGGATATTATCCAGTTCGACTCCATCTCATTGTACTCTGGGTGGCTGGCATGTGGGATCAACACTATGGTCAGGTATCTACCGGAGCGATGTATGCGGCAATTTGGCTATGTGCAGACCATACCAAGATCTCCCTTTCAGGATGCTCCCGACACCATTGTCCGTCAGGAGCTTGATGGCATCTTCCAGGATTCAGAGAATCATATAGTGCCAGAGGAGTGTCGGATGATGCAGGCATCTAGCAGTTGGCATTGTATTGAGGGATATGTGACATGACTCTACACAATCACATCCTATCATGACACCGGATGCTCCTGGACGTCCACCTAGGCCAGCTCATGAGGAGATCTTAGAGAACCAACAGGTCGAAGATGACCATGTCATTGATCTCTTGTCGATCTGTTAACGGATACAGATGATTGGACGGGAGGCTTTGGACATAAGTATTATTGACTGGGGCGGTTCTGAGGCGGTGGCCGTTGTAGAGAGGATGATTGGGGAGGCAGAGAGTGCAGTGAGATGCAGTAGACAAAGGAGGGGACAGAGAGTGAGGATCAGGCATACGTAGTAGGCTATACTTTTTTTTCTTCAGAATAATTTATAATAAGTATTGTATTTTTTATTTTAAACAAAATTTATTGTGTCTATTATCGTTTTTTATGTCATCACCTTGATTTCGGAAATGCATCTCCGAAACACTTTGATTTGAAGTGCGTTCAAATATGCATCTCCGAAGAGTATTTTCGAGTTTTTAGAGATTTTTCTCCACTCATAAAAGGTGTACAAAAAAAATTCCCTCAGAAGAAAACACATAAGCTCTAATTGATCCATGTAAAATTGTGTGGCCCTATTACTCACATATCAAACAACAACAAAAGATACTCTATATGTTCCATTGATGACTTTACTCGAAAAATATGGATATACTTTTTGGTTGAGAAGTCGGATGCATCATCTCTTTTAAGTACTTCAAGAGTCTTGTTGAGAAAGAAACAAGAAGTTACATTAAATGTTTACATATTGATCGAGGAGTCGCAAGAATTTATTCAGTTCTCTAAATAAATTGGGTCATGAGACAACTGAAGGCTGCATACACTCCCAAATGGAACGGAGTTATTGAGAGGAAAAAAAAGGTTTGTCTTTAGTTTGTGAATTGAATTGTTCATGTCCTAAATTAAAGTTCTACTATGGTTCTAAAAGGCATGACTCCAGAGGAGACTTGGAGTGGAATTAAGCATTCAATTGAGTATTTCCGAGTTTTTGGGTGTGTCACATGTACACGTACCATATGCCAAGAGGAAGAAGTTGGAAGACAAGAGTTTTACTTAGGTGATGTTGAGGGTCAATGAGGAATAAGACAAGTGTTGGGATTGGGACAAGAGTTACAAAGAGTTCATTGTTGTTGATTTAGTGACAATAAACTCTTCCATGCTACCCTCTTGTTGAAGAGATTAGAGTTTCTCGAACACATTCCCATCACTCACACCTCCATATCGTGCAACACAGATTTCAACCCTTTCCAAGTGAGAGTTTTCTCTTCCTCGGTCAAAGATTTGAAAGAAAGAAAATGAATCGTGGATCCATCCATATAAAGTTGAGCCAAATCGATCTTGATGTTGGGGCGGGTGTCTTGGACATATTTTGCGCCATGAATGCAAAAGTTTTCTCAAAATTCTCTTTGATCATTGCTTCAAAGTTCCTCATCCTGTCTTCAATGGTGTTCATTCTTGTTCATTCTTGCTTCCATTCTTCTTCCATTGTTTTCTTTGGCGACATTCGACAACCAACAGGTCGGACCAATTTGGTAAAGACCAATGAGTCCTGTGAACCGAATGAGAAACCAACACATGGAAAAGAGAAAGACTAGATGAAATTAATAAAAATAGGGTGTTTTATTAATAAAAACGATAATAGTAATAGAGGATTTCTCTAACTACTTCCAGAGCAAAGCTCCTATGCATAGAAGAATCCTACACTGAATCTAACAGAAAACTATTTTATCATGAGTTCTAAAACCCTATTACTTATTCTTATATAATACTAAGAAGATTTTATTGAATCATATCTTTATAAAGAATACAGATGATTCAGATGAATTTCTTCTAACCTCATTGGTTCCTAGAGAAAACTGACATGCCATGAGAACATAGTATTTTAGATCTCAACATCATCATTACCTGAGAGGCATCACTAATGATTTAGAAGCAGAAGTGTAACCAGTAAGGGCCAAATGTGTTTGCCAACAAGGACCAAACTGCTGGAAAAGCACACAGAAACTACATTTTCAATTTACAGATACAGACACATGCTCCACCAAACCTTACAATAATCTAACTATGAATAAACATCCACATCATGCAGCAGGATAACCTCACTTTCATGCAGAGAAAACAACTTTTTTTTTTCCTTTTGAAAGCACATTGTTAAATCGAACCTTGCAAAAATAGATGAATGTTAACCTTCTTTTGGGATTTTCAAACCAACTGAACTCTCGAGATATCGGTTCTTTCTCAGACACTGTGCAGGCACGGACAAAACACTTGAAACCGCCTCACAAATGTCACTGCATGGAGAGCAGGTCCTTTGTTGCAAATTAAGCATTAGTGATTAGGGTTGAAGAACACTTCCCTCATCTACCAGTAGTCTTTGCAAGAACAAACTCCATCTTTGAAGTGGTGATACCTCGTCCTATCTCGAACTATAATTACTCGATCATAAACTTTGGATATAAATTTTGTTGCTTGATGACAATCCGCACAAACTCTTAAATTCTTCACAATGCGAATTGGAGTTCCAGGTTCCGTGTTCATCAGTCCGAAGGCAATAGCCAACTTCTCACTGTGTACAGAGAGAGCAGTCTCTTTGTCTTCCTCATCATCAATATCAAGCAAAACTTCTGCTAGCTCGGGAACATACCCAGCAATCTTCAACTTGCTTATCATCTCATTCAAAAATAAATAAATCTCACTACTTTGTGGATGCGATCGATCTCCAACAAGGAACTGATGGAATAATCCTTTCAATTCAATTGAGCTGTAACCGGGGATCTTTTTTCGGTCACTACTGTCTCTCAGTGTCCTTGCTTCATTGAACCTCCCAGATGTAGAATATATATTACCCAACAGAACATGACACCCTATATGATCCGGATCGATTTTTTTAATTATCTTACCTATTCTATATCCGCGCTCCATATCTTTATAGATTCTACAAGAATTCAACAATGCTCCCCAAATTGCAACATCCGGAGCCATTGGCATGCTCAAAATCATGTCTTCAGCCTCCATCAAGAGCCCGGAACGACTAAGTAAATCTACCATACATCCATAATGCTCTAATTCAGGGATAATTCCATAATCACTAGTCATCAATTCAAAATATAATTTTCCCTCTTTAACCATATAGCCATGACTACAAGCATTTAATAAGGCAATGAATGTTACTTTATTAGGAGAAACTTTTTCAACCTTCATTTGTTCAAAGAGATTTATAGCTTCTTCAGGTTTTCCATGCATTGCTAACCCGCCAATCATTGCATTCCATGGCCAAACCTTTCGCTTCACTTTGTGTTCATAGAAAACACTTGATGCAGATTCTATCTCTCCGCACTTTGCATACATGTCAATTAGGCTAGCAAGAAGCCTATCATTCACCCTAATCTTGTCCCTCCGAATGTAAACATGGATCCACTTTCCTTGATCCAACGCAACAAGATTTGAACAGCCTGCAAGAGCGCTTACCATGGTATATTCATTTGGTTTGACCCCAGCTTGCAACATCGTGTGGAAGAAATCCAAAGCCTCCATGAAACAGCCAGCCTAGAGAGAGAACATAGACATTCAAGTTAAAAACAATAAAAATATATGATATGCTTTTTTCTGTTATTTTGGAGTTTTAGATAAAAAGAGAAGAGAAAGTAATGAGAACTTTGAATCAGATTAGTTAATCCCGGATAGCGGCAATCAAAGTAGTTAATCCCGGATAGCGGCACAGAGCGACAAACCCCAAAATTGGGATAGTGGGATGACCGCCATTTGATAATTTTTTGAACAAATTACATGAATATTAATTATAAATATAAGAAGTGCGGAGGGAAGAACAAAGTGCAGAGAGAGGTGAGGGAGGAACTTGAGATTTTTCTTACAATTTAAATTTAAGGGATAATTTCGGTTTTTCATAAGGGAAAAGGATAGCGGAACAGAAACCGCTCCGGACCGAAAACCACTCGTCCTGATACCCACTATTTACCCTATAGAGGCTGCTATAGTGTTATGCACGTTAAGGCTCTTCCCATAGAGATTAGCCTCCGCTCCGCTCTGCTATAGCGAGATAGTGCCACAATTGACTACTTGCTTTAAGTATTATTCATAAACACCTTAATACCAACTTTACTTAATAGTAGCTTCATACAAAAAACTAGTTACTAATCAATATTTATAGGAATACATAGACTCAATCCTAAATAAATAGGAAAATCAGGAAACAAATAATAATAAGATATGGAAATTAATCCTAGGAGATAATCTAAGGCCGCTTTGTTAGTATTGAGAATAAATCGTAAGAGATAAACCAAGATATTCTGAAATATTATTTTCTATTTTAACATTTACAACTGTAAGAATGTTCGTATCATTATTTATTTATTTAACATACTAAACCTGCAATACCTGAACATAACCAGCTATTATAGTACTCCATGACACAACATCTCTTTCATCCATTTCATCAAACAATTCCTTAGCTAGAACCATGTCACCGGATCCAACATAAGCAGCAATCATAGTGTTCCAACTAAACAAGTCTTTATCCACAGCCGAATCGAAAACCTTCCTCCCATCTTCAACAAGTCCCATCTTTCCATACATACCAATCAACGCATTTACAACAAACACATTGCTATCCAATCCAACTTTCACAGCATGTGAAAAAACCTGCTCCCCCTCCCTCACACACAATCCATTTCCACATGCACCAAAAGCAAACACAAAGCTATACCGATTCAGAGAGAAACCCGAATCCCGGATTAACAAGCGGAACACTGAGAGTGAATTGCAACAAGAATGGGGTGATAAAGAATTCTCTTTGATCATGGTGTTGTAAATGAATAAGTCTGGTTGAGGAATTTGATCAAACAGTTTGTGGGCATAAGAGAGAGAAGATAAAGCAACATGCTTGAGGAATTTATTGGCTATAACAAGGTGTGAGACTTGAGCTGTGGTGATTAAATGTGCATGGGTTTGTTTAATTTGTTGCATGGATTTGCATGAATCAATCAAAGGGATAAGCTTAAAATGGTGAACAAAATGAAAAGGCTTGGTGCTAATCATGTTTTTGTTTCAGCAACTATCTAGTAAAATTTTCAAAAATCTTGAATATGTTACTCTTTTTAAAAAAATTTATAAGTAAAAATATATAATTTTATATTTATAAAAAATTGATAGTTAAGTGTATTTAAATATATTAATTTTATATAAAGAAAACTCCTAAATTTAATAGTTATCTCCTTACACTATTAAGAAATTAATATAAAAATACGTTTAGTTACATTATATGAACATAAAATGATAACTTTTGTTTATACTAGCATGAATGTATGTGTAAACTTGTGCTAGAAATCCGTATAAGAAATATTGACAAATTTTGATGAAATCATTTTAAATAAATAAATAATAATTAGACAAATATAAAATAAAAGGTATTTAACAATATATTTGGAAACAATTATTCTACTACTTATATTAACATATTGGCTTTATTGTTAAAGTTGTCAAAATAATTATGATCTATTTATTTTTTTTGGTCTAATCCATTAGGCCTATATTTTTATGGGTCAGGTCAGGTTCGTCAAACGGGTTTTGAATTGGTCTATTAAAAATCAATTATAGTCAATTTTGAAAAGAAAAAAAAGTTTTAATTAACATATGATTGTATTTTCAAGTTAATAAGAAAAATTAAAGCGGATAAAGATATATTATCAAGATGATGAAAGTATAGGAAACACAGGAAAGGGGAAATTTGAATTGGCTTTCAAGTTTTGAATCATTTTCTACCCAAACAAACAAAGATGAAACAAGAACAAAAATAAACGAACACAATTATTTTTATCATGATTCACTGTTAACGAAGTTAATTCAGTCCACCCGCTAAGGCGATTTTTCCTTTCTCAACAAAGACTCAATCCACTATAATCAAACTGATTACAATCCACAAGATTACCCGTCAATGTCTTCTTGAGAAATTCTGACTATATCCTAGTCTCTCAAGGAACAATCAACTCAAAGGTTGAGATACAAAAAAGGTGTGTCTACAAGATGCTTCTAAGAAAGCAGATTTACACAAGTTGAAATACAATGACAAACACAAAAGTGTTTTTTGCAAGTTAATGAACAAAAGTTCCTTGATTTACAGCTCTTTACAAAAGAATAATGAATCAAAGAATTTCGCGTAGAGTTTCTTTTCAGTGGTGCAAAGTTCTAGCATTTTTTCATTCTTCCAAGTCTTTCTTATATAGGAAAAGAAAGATTTGTTTGAGGGTAGAACAAGAATTCCAAAATCTAATTGTATTCTTGTATAACGGTCAATGTGAGTTGTAGACAACATCGTACCATAGTATTGTCCTTCCGCCATAAAATCAATATAGTGGAAGAAATATTTGATCTTGTACCATGTACTATTTACTCACGTAAAACCTTTTTTATTTTATCTTCTAATCTTCAGAGGCTTCATAATATATGTTGATGAAGCATACTTAGAAAGATTAAAACTAGAATGAGAGTGTTCAGAACCTTGTCTTCGAGTCTTCAGAATTTGTTCAACATAACCATGTCTTCAGGGCTTGGTTTTAAGAACCTTAAAACTTGAAAGTGCAGAATCTTCAGAACCTTGTCTTTAGAGTCTTCAGAACTTGTTCACCCGAACCTTATATTCAGAATCTTCGGAACTTGTTCTTCAGAATTTCAGAGCTTGAGAAGTCCTCAAAATCTCTTCCATCAGAGTCACAGTCAAAAGCTCTAGACTAACGTTCATCAAAATCGTTGTTTAGAAGCATTCCAGAACTTGACAATGTCTTGTAACACATACTTTGTATCTCTCTAGAGTCAGAGTGTGTTGACTCTAGAAATTAATGATGTCATACACCATTCTATCAGAGTCAAAACGTGTTAGCATAAGCTACACACTAGACAAAATCATTAGGGAACAAAATTATTCTTTAACACACAATATATTGTTATGATCAAAACTAAATGTCAGATGCATAACCAAATCTTATTCTTACAATCTCCCCCTTTTTGATGATGACAAAACCATGTATTTTGATTAATAATTTTTACAGGTTTAATCATATAAAACATATTTCAGAGTTAGCTAAATAGCTCCCCCTGAGTTCTATATTCTAAAACTTATCTCAGCTTGTTCAGAGGCTCCCCCTGAGTTCAAGACTTGTGAAATAATTTTGAAGTATAAAACACCTTAATTAGCATGAAAGGAATACTTTCTTGATTAGAACACTATCAGAGTCTGACTAGAATTCCTGGTTAAGAACACCATCAGAATCTGAGTAGAGATTCCTGGTTCATCATTAGTCTGAATAGAATTGTTTG